ACACCCCTTTTTTCAAATGAAAATAAAACAGTTTTTTTTTTTTTTTTTTTTGTATTTTCCTTTGTCATCTGTCAGGATTTTATACTAAGGTGAAAAAAAGAAAATGACTCTAAAGGGTTTTTTTCTACACTGATTTGAATACCTTATTCCTCACCAGAGCCAGTTAGTCAGTAACATGTGAATCAATTGGACTGACCTACTTTACTCTAAACAGCCATGGTGTCATTCAGCACAACTTAAACAAATAAGCAGTAGACCAAACTGTAAAACAGAAACCAAAAATATTTGCTAACCAGCAGCTACAAGAGAAACAGATCTATGTAACAGAAGTATTAGCTTAGCAAATGCTAGCATGACTTCCTGTCCCCTGGAGATGCTGTTTATGGTTCTCTGCGGATCCCTCTGTTTTCCTACAGCTGCTCTCAGAAAAAACATTACTTCCAATTGTATTCATTCAGGGTATCACTGTCCGGACTCTGCATATAGATGTAAATATGCCTTAGCTAGCTAAACAAAGCATGTGTGTTCTGTCAGAATACAGCAAACCAGATGTTGGGGAACAAAGGAGGAAAGCTACCATTATGTTTCTGTTTCATGTTGTGAGCAAACATTTCTAACAGATTGGTTTCAACAACTGAATAAAAAAAAACCCTGTTTTGTCCTGGGTCCTATCCGTTATCTCGGGGATGAAATGACCTCTGCCAAGTGGGGCTTCGCAGTGAAAAACAAGAAGCTCTCTCATGAGCTCATCCCCAAACCAGTCGCTACTGGTTCAAACCACAGGTTCATTACCACACCAAAGACAGAGACACGAGGGAGCGAGGGGAGAGGGGAGAGGGAGAGAGAGATAGGATAGGGGAAAGAGAGGGAGAACTGGGAGGATGGGAAGACGGGAAGAACCAAACAAAGAGACAAAAGCGCGAGAGTAGGAAGAACGGAAGAACGAGGAGGAATTACAGATAAAGAACCATAAAATTGCTCAAATTTAGTTGGGGGATACTAATGTTGTTACATATTTAACATGTGATTTCTTAGGCAACCTCAAAACACAAACCCTTATTTCCTGACTGATAACATCTGCCAGCAGGAAGTTGTTTTAAGTGGCCTTCTTTTAATCTGAAGTCATATCTCCATCTTCAACTGTCTCAAACAAGAATGAGAACCTAAACACATGGAAATAGGAAGGGTGCAAAAATACGTTAAATTTAATCATATGAAGATTTTACCATATTTTTAAAAAAATAAGTTATATTTATTCACAGAAACACACATGCAAAACTGATGTACATCCTGTTTTAAACTATTATCCCTAAGCATCATACGACTTTAAGTTTATATATGCCACTAAGGCTTGTTGCTTCATATTGAACACATAGTCATCTACTGCCATCTAGTGGTCAGCGTTTAGGCTAATTTTGGAACATGCTAGCTACCTAAAACATGTGTACTGAATGAACAAATTAACTTAATTTATAATCTGCTTGGTAGCAAAACATAATATATCTGTTACTGTTTATAAATGAAGAGATGGGGTATGTTAGGAATGAAATGGTTTGTTTAGGAGATAGAACATAAGAATGAGAAGGGGGTTGAAATCTGTGCAAAACATGAACTGAGTCGGACTCCCTGCCTCCTAATGGCTGATGGAGTTCACCCCAACTCTCTTCACCTTGAAGTTGTAGATAGAATAAAAAAGGAGAGAAAAACGGGGTAGATTGATGATGCAAAGTTGCCAGGAGCCAAAGGCTCTTTGGAATCATTTCTTTACCTTTGAAATGAATGATGTCAACCCTTTTTAAAACATGACCTGAAATTAATGTCTCTTTATATTATCATTACTACTATTATTTAAACCTATTGAGGTTTGGTTGATAGTTAAAATCCTCCTGTCTCTCCTCTCCATGCAGTTTGACATCAACCAGCTGACGACCACAGTGAATGTAAGCCAAAGCCTCAGCCCCATCCACAAGCTGCTGGAGTCGCCCAGCAGCAGCGGAAGCAGCAGCAGTGGCGGCAGCATGTACCGAGCCGGCGGCGTCGGACCTGTCCAATCGCCTATGGACCGAACCAAAGGTTTCTTCGCCGATGAATCAGAACCGCTCCTCCGCTGCGACTCCACGTCCAGCAAAGACTCCGCCCTCAGCAGAAATGGCTCCTTCATTACCAAAGGTGAGAGGGGAAGTTCAGCCAGGACACAGTGAACTTCGAACCGTTTCTCCACTTGTTGTTTGACGTGTCACGTACACCTCCAACCAAAGGCGGAGATCCCAACATGATGAAGTGTTTGCTTACTTTACTTGCTCAAATAGTTTGAAAATGTCTGCACGAACTTTCTTATTGACATAATAATTGGTATTCATTTGAAAATGATAAAAAAAAACTCAGCTCTGTAAATAAGTAAAAAGCTGTTGACGTTCAAAGACTCCTTAACATCTCCAGGAGGATTTGCAATTCTTATGTAATCGATGGAACGTTAGCTGGAGATAGGCACCAGCACCCCTCCCGACCCCACTAAGGGACAAGGGTGTTAAGAAAATGGATGGATGGATGGATGTAATCAATGGAAGTAGACAAAGAATAATGAGGAAGAAAGTGTCACTTTATGAGTCTGTCTGCCTGTGACTCGTGTTTTAGTCGTTACCTACTGCTTGTATCCAGATAATAGAACAGATCTTCTGTGTTCCTTGTAGAGTCACTCCTGTGAGTCAGTCTGACACAGAAACTGTGTCACCGGGTAACTTTGTTGTAAACGCCGCAAGCATCGGTGAGTAGGTTACACACTGCTCTGAACATGTGTGTAACCTACTCAGGTAATGTAATACACTGTACAATTCAAATTTTAGACATAATGTGAAGTTACAGCGGTGGACTGGTGTCATGGTAGGCAGCACAGATTCTTCATTACAGTGGAGCCTTTGGAGTTCAGCTGTTTCCGATTCTTTAAGTCCTTAACAAATGATTCAGACTCTCATTATTGTTGGCTCATTGTTATTGTAATGTTACGGCTGTTGAGAGAAATGTGGGAAAACATGACTTCCAGTTATAAGTAGATGTTTGGGTGCCCTCATGTGGTCTGTTCTGGCTATTACAATCTGTATATTCATGAGGAACCTAATCTGATTGTGCATGTTGTCAGGACTATTTTAAATTTGTTTCCACAATTCATGAGAAATTGCTTAAGTTTTTTATTAGATTAAATCATACCCATTACTATAAGAGCTAAAGAACAAGAGCAGAAAGTTACTTTACTGACTCTGGTGTGAAAGATAATTACACCAATGTTGTCCAAAATTACACTTCTACACTTAAGCGAAACTGAACAAAGCCATCTCAGCATTTTGATTAAAGTTCAAATTGAACCGGTTGTTATTTATTGTCAGTGAAGACTTTTAAGTAAAAAAAAATAAAATAAAAATAAAAAAATACATACAGTATCTCTCCACTGGAGGGCAGCAAAACCTAAGTTTAAACCTTGGGGACGTTTCATCTTCTTAATTTGCTAACAGAAAAAGACACAGAGTTTTAAGAGGATTTTTGAAAGATTCACCAACTCAACTTTATTTCTTATAAAGAACATTTTGAATGTAATGTAAGACTTATACCTCCAAAGAAAGGTACCGACTTCGTCCAGCCAACTGGCGATAAATTAGCATTCAGCTTTTTAGCTAGCAAGACAATGTCAGCGGTGACTCACATAAAGCAATGAAGGTTTAAAACTTTTTAAGGTTGTCTTTAATATTATTCCAGCTAATAGTCATTAGTGAATGAACATGCTGCTGGAAATACAAATGTTTCAATACCTAATACTGAAAGAAATATTTGGGTGGTTTTCAGGTGAAGTATAATTGCAAAAACTGTAGCATTCAATACAAGAATAATATAATCGAATCTTTTTCTTGTGTCCCCCTGCAGAGAAGAAAGACACGGTTCTCCGGCAGGTTCGCCTGGACCCGTGCGACCTTCAGCCAATCTTCGACGACATGCTGCACATCCTGAACCCTGAGGAGCTGCATGTCCTCGAGGAGATCCCCACCGCCGAGGACAAGCTGGACCGACTGTTTGAGATCGCCGGAGTGAAGAGCCAGGAGGCCAGCCAGACGCTGCTGGACTCCGTCTACAGCCACCTGCCTGACCTGTTATAGTGGAGGGTGTAGGGAGAGAGGGAAAAATAAATAATAAAAAAAAAGCACACAGATGTTCAAAGGCAAAGGGATTGGGTGTAGTTAAGACTTAGTTTGAGTTGATTTTTTCAAACTGGTGGAGTTGGACTCATGAGGCCACTAGTGTAACACGGCTCCAGCAGGTTATTTACCTTTGGTCTGCTCCCTCTGATGAGTCCGGTCAATCCTGACCACTCCTTCATTCCTTCTGTATAAAAACCCCCTCTGCTGCGCCACATCACCACTGGTGATGCTAACTGTGAGGCTCCAAGGCCTTCTGGGTTTTAAAGAGTTGAGTCCAAACGGCTTGAATTATGTACAGACTCCACTCAACTAGCACTTTATTTATCTGAAACGGCCAACGCCTTCTTGTTTAAAGGACAATACCGGTGTTTTTTCTTGTTTGTGCCAATCATTTAGGCCCTTCTTGCCTTTACTAATATTTCAGTGTAAAAGTTATATTTATTATTAACACAACAGGCAATGGTATATAAGCTATAACTCTAAACAACACTGGTATTATTCTTTGATTAAGGTTCTTGTAAATCAAAACGGATTGGGCTGATTTCTGAGTCGTGTGCCTAAACGTGTTCCCTTCCACAAATCTTCGCTTTGTTTCCTTCCTGCTGCCTGATCCTGAAGGGGGGGATGGGTGTTTTTTGGTAGCTTGTGACCACCAGCAGGTAGTAGCATCACTTCAACAGTCTGACACCAAATGCATCGATTAAAATGATTCGAGACTGAAGGAATGCAGTGCCTCATAAAGCACCTCAGGCTTTTCCACATTTGGTCATGTTACAACCACAAACCCTATGTTCTTTCAATGGGATTTTATATTAAAGGCCAAACTCAAAGTAGGGTATTGCTATGAGGAATGGAAGAAGATACAAATTAAAATCTGAAAAGCGTAGTTTGCTGTTTTGTTGAATTTTCTGACCCGGCCACATGTGGGCAGATTTTTTTTACCTCCTCCGGCAGTCTTAAGAGATGGGATCATTTGGACCTCACATGTGTTTTACGAGGTTTTCTTTGTGTGGTTTCTGGAATTGACGATCTGATGGCACAACAGCCCACCTCCCTACGCCTCATTGCTCTCTGACCGTCACATTTACCACGCTCCTCAAAGTCCTGACCTTCATCCAGTTGAACATCTCTAGCTCCACTTCAGATTAGATTTTGAGACACACTCTCCTTCCAACAAGCAGAACCTTTTCAGTTTTTAGATGTTAAACATAAAGTAACCGCAAAAGTGATGAAAGGCCATCACAGGTTCTGGTTGTAAAGTGACAAATCGCTAAAAAGCTCAGAGGATATCAATACTTAGACATTATTTTAGCTCACCTGCCAGTAGGAGAAATGCCTTTTTTCCCCCTGTTTTGTTTTGAACTTCACTGGGAGAGAAAATCTCTTAACTGCCCGTTTGGTGAACCCTGACCCCACATGTGAGCCCAGTGCAGCGCTGAGAAAGGGTTCCTGATTCATTTCAGAGCTTCCTGGCAGCATCAAGGGAAATAACTCAGTCCAGTTTTCTAGATGTTTTATGTTCTTGATATTCCAATGTAATACTCATGCACTAATGGTAATTTCTGTATGTGCTTTTGTCTTGTTTTGTTTTGTTTTGTTTTCCATACTCACTTTGATTTACTATTATTAGTTATTGTAGCATGTGGGTTTCTCTGTCCTCTGTTTGTATGTTTTTGAACCCCTCCATCCCTGGCTGGGGTTCCCTCGCTGGGCTGTAACATATGCATACTCTGTACTCTACTTGAAGTCTGTTACTTGTGCTCACCAATGAACAGAGTGCAGTCTACCGATTCCTTTAACCTTAAACAGTTTAAACCTCATGAACCCCCTCCGTCTTCAACGCATCACGGAACGAGGAGGCGACGTTCTGCCAGAACCTCTGTGGTGTGGACTCTCGCCTTTCGGCCTGGCAGTGGAGAACTAGGACATGATGGAAGGAAAATGGCTGCTTCAGGTACTGCAGCTTGGATGGATGTGACTGAAGGCGGTGCTGCTGTGGACTGCAGTCTGGATGACGGCGGTGAGGAAGTGTGAAGTGGCTGTCCGCTGCGCTGTGGGGTTACTTGTGTCTGAGAAGATGATTTCATCAAATTCACAACTCAAATGTAACCAGTATGTTTACTCTTCAGATTAACTAAATAAAGCTAATTTTTTTTTCTTTTTCAGATTTTTGTGCAGAATTTTGTCATTTAGATTCCTGGGAGTATGGTATACTTCTGTTTGTCTTGTAATGTGTGTTGTGGTTATTTAAAGTAACTCATCTGAACAGAATTTAACACAAATATGAACAATA